TTTCTTCTTGCGGCAGTAAGTAAGTTCTTCGTGATTACTTTGCTGGGAACATAAGATTTTGTTTAACACTAGTTCCTCTTCGGCGTTCTCCTTATTAATCTTTAATCGTCTTTGTTACTTGATTGGTAGGTCATTGGTTTTTTAGTTCGTTTGGACTCCCTTTATCAGTTGGTACTTTAACTTTATCAGGGTCCTTTTTTGTGAGAAGCATTACACGCAGTCAGTGGTTGAAATAAGTCAATAACTTCGAAATTATTCAGCTAGAGAATGATTTTTTTCTTCCAACTCATGTAAGGATTATCAGACGGACGGACTAGTGAATCCTTGTACTCGACATATTGAAAAAGAAAAAAGAAAAAATACATAAAGAAAAAATTAATTGCTTAACGTCATCTTCTAATGTTGGGGACTTTTTCCAGTTTCAAGGTGTTGTTTTTTTGAAGTTGGGAGGCTTATCACCAAATACCTTTTTTTTCTTTGGTCGCTTTCAGAGTTTTTTTTATTTAGTTAGTCTCTTTCTGTTTTGTGGGTTTCTGTTCGTTAAGCTAACTTTGTCACTTTTTTTTTTGAATGACGGAAGTGCAACATAAAACTAGTTTATTTTGTTAAAAGTAATCTTTATATGTGTAGCAGCTGGATAAAGATGAAAGAAGGATTTTGTAAAAATTGTCGAGGATGGAATTGCTACGTACGCACATATATCACCTCATTAGGAGGAAAAAGTTTTTTTTTGCTGTGGTATAACAGTCATATCTTGCTTTAATTGTCGTTTGACTTCAGTCTTTCTTCATTGCAATAGTATTATGCATTTTAAACATTCTGTTGGCGCTGTTCATTATTTTTTTGAGCAGTTTTTGAATTTAAGGTGGTGTTTTTAGTGAATACATCTGCTTTTGGTGTATTGCTCGGAGCGAACCTCATTCTTCTTTCTTATATTTCTGAGATTAATTTAATTTTGGCTTAGAAGCTGCATATTTGTCGCTAGCAACAACTTGTTCGGAAATGGCCATAGCACCGCATGGTAAAAAAAGAGTCGCTTATTATTATGACGGTAAGATTTTAGGCTTTTTTCTGTTTAGATCATCATATCAAGTTTGTTAATTACATCTACACTCTAGAATGAAAAATTTTTCTTTTATTGATCATAACTTTCGTGCCTCTGATGACTTTGTGCTTCTAGACTTGGTTCTTTAGGTGATGTGGGGAACTACTATTATGGACAAGGGCATCCAATGAAGCCACATCGTATTCGGATGACTCATAACTTGCTCTTAAACTATGGGCTTTATAGGAAAATGGAAGTCTACGTAAGATGATCTAAATTTTACTTTCTGTTGAAAGTTTACTTTTTTTTTAAACATCTCCTGGTGTATTAGATAGGAGGGGTTATCAGTAAATGCTTTTTTGATTTGCTGCAATGAAATTTTCACTAGAAAAAAGCGTTTTTTTTTTCGGTTATTGTGGGGCGTCATTTGTTTTACAGAATGCTAGTTCTTTAGAGACCACAAGTGGCGAGTTTCGATGAGCTAACCAGATACCATAGTGACGACTACATAACGTTTTTGAAGAATATACGGCCTGATAACATGACAGAACATAATAAAGCTCTTCAACGATGTTAGTGTTATTGGCTTTGTTGTTTTGAAGGGCCTTCGAGTCATTCCATGCCAGATCGCACACTCATGAAAATTTTTGTTTTAGTTATTTCTCAAAATTGGTCATTCAGTTTGCCGGGATATCTGACTAACAAAACAAAAAAGTTAACCTTGAAACGTATTTTTTTATCTTTAAGTTTTTTCCTCAGTTGAGGAATTATTTAGGAGTTCTTTATTTGTTCACAAAAAGAAGGTTTCATTTAGATTTTATAAAGGAACTTGTCTTCTGGTTTCAGAAGAATGTCGCGATTAATGTATTTTTTTAAAAAGACTTTTGGAGTTTCTAAGAATATAGAATATACTAGTGAGCGGTAGGAAAAG